GAATTAGCTAAATATGTTAATGCAGGTCAGATATTATATTAATGCTAGCCAGATATTATGGTAATGCCAGCCAGATATTATGGTAATGCCGGCCAAATAATCTTATTTCGAGATCAGATTAAAAATCCCGCGCGTGCCCATCTCTAGACTCGACCCGAATAAATTTGGATAACCGGTTGATAGGATCCATAAAGTATGTAAATGACTAAGAAAGAGCAAAGATTCCGAATGAACATAAGAGACGAACCAAAATTTTGAGCGAAGCTCTGAAAATTTCCGAGGTAGTAGAGATTATTAATCTCAACTGGTTGTAATCGGTTGACATAAAATAATTCGATTCGGTTAACCGATTGAGGATATTTTTTTCGGTTCAAATCACTAGCTGCATAGTTAGCTGATATTATTGCTTAATGCCGGCCCATTCCGACCCTAAATTTTGGTTGACCTGCTGAATTTTTGCTACTCCACTAATCTATCCCTCGGATTTTGAGAGAAATGGAAACTAAAAAGGCGAAACGTTTCGGACTTTGAGAAAGGATTTAGGCTGGAACACTAACTCCTAAAATTCATTACCTTTATTAACATAGTAACTTATTAAGGTATGGTAAAGGCTAACATATGTAAACGACAGATACAAGAAATTTTCATAATTGAATTAATAAAATAGTAATTTTTAGACAGCATAAAATTGATGCTCTAATATCGTTTTCAAAATGATACATACATGCCTTTTAAATTTTTTTTAATTAACTTCATATATTTAATGGATCTTACATTTTCGGGATAATTATAATGCTTACAATACATTCGTCTGATTTTAATGACTGGATTTGTATTTTTTTTCAGACTCGGATTTAGTTCTAAAAGACGAAGTTATTATGAAAGGAAGTGATAAAAAGGTTCATTATTAATTTTACTACATTCATAGGATTATTTACAATATGAACATGAATTAACTTCAACTCGTTTCAAATGGTTAGGAATGCACATTAAAAACAAATTAATATATTCTGTTCTATCACGACTGAGAAAGTTAAACTACAACTACCCAAATGCCAACTTACTTTTCCATTCAAGTATTATTACCTAACACATATTTTTGCAATATACATTTATGTCAGTTGCACAAATTATGTTTCAGACATTCACATAAGAATTGTCTAATCAAACAAATCAACAATTCCAGCATCGTAAGGATCCTCAACTACATCCAAAACACCAATTTCAGGCTTTGAATAAACACCAAAAACTTTCCTACGGGTTGAACTCATAGGAGCTGTATCAGGTATTTTGAACCATTCATCTGTAGAAAGCTGTTATAAGTAACAATATTAATGTTAATATTTTTCAGATTAAAAATAATAATAAATAAATCAAAAGAATGCTAAACATATATTAAACCATACTCCTGTTATTCCTTCAAGGAACTCCTTAACAATTTTTTTACGGGTTTTGCTTTCGGATGCTTGACTTAAGGACGTTTCAAATTTCTACAAATTATGGCATTGTTTAACAATAAATGATAGAAAAAGTTGACGAGTTGAACATTCTAACTCTGATTATATTTTAAGAATTACCTGCAACTGAACATGATCCATATTCAGCAATTGTGCAAAGGTTTCATAAGGAACAGATGATAAGGGTCTCAATTCTACGTAAAGATCAGTAATAAAAGAAATTATCATAGAATGGGATTCTTTATGATATCCATCATGTAAGGCCTATAAAAGTACGAATTAATTCAATATTTCACAATATACAAACAGCCTCTCTGAATACACTCTGGAGATCCTTCTTGTCTTCTAATATCACTTATAAAATTATTATACAAATGTACACCACACTGACTGTAACCTTATATCCAATTCAAAAGTTATACACTCCAGAGGTTGTCAATATTTAACATTTGTTACCTGTAATGCAGCAGTTAATAAAGAAGTTCCAACAAACTCTTTTAATCCTTCATGCTTTATTAGATTCGGTAATATTCTAACACATAATTGGACTGTTCGTGCACATGATACTGTATCTTTAAAAGTCAAGAGATGGCATAAGCTCATCAAGAAAGGCTCAGTAATTGGCTATTCGAAATATTAAAAAATAATCAGTAAATAGTTTTGAATGAATGACACATCATTAAATTTTCTCACCATATAATTTAGCATATATTCTTTCAGTGCATTATTCTCTAATTTAGAAGACGTATTATCATCTATCAATGGAATAAATTTATATTTATTAATAAACTAAGATATTTATCTAAACAAAAAAGCAATGTTTTAAACTGGAAAAACAAGGCAGTATATAAAACTCGTAAATGATACCAATTGTTTGTTTTTTAGGCACTGGTGGGAATATTTGACCAAATATATCAATATAGGCCCTTGTTAAATCCCTTAATCCCTGTTCATTCACTATTTCGTCTGATATATCATTAGTAGTATCCTGTAATAATTGAACTCTACATCAAAAATAAATAAAAAAAAATAATAATAATGTCAATAATTTCTGAGAAAAATATTAAGCGTCAGATTGAAGACTTTATAGAACATACGTTTCTGATGCTGAGACTTGAATCCCTTTTTCAGCCAAAATTCGCCATTCTAATACCAACTTTTTATCCAGATATTTTAGTAGTTGTGGAAAGAACCCTGAAAGGGCTTCAGGTATTGGGCATTTAATAACGTATGGCCTGACAACTAGAGGTACAAGATCAAATATCGACAGTCAAGAACACATAACGTCCAATGTAAATTAGATATGTATATAATAAATGTAATTATAATATGTAAAGGATATTAAGCAACATTTTCCAATGAATGTTGTCAATACTCTCAGCATTTTCAAACAACGATTGCATAATAGATTCATGTACATTTGGAATGGAATAAAATGCTGGTCCAAATGCCGCTAGTCGACCAAGAATATGATAACTATTTAAGAATTACAATGTCAATTCAAATAAGTCTTAATAAATATATGTGGTGGCTGAAACTGAAAATTTGACATATTAAATTATATGAAAATTTAATTTTTGGGTACACTTTTTTTGACTTTTTTTTAGGGTTGGAGTCAGCTTTATGGGTAGAATTTATAATCAAAAAGTATAAGTGGGTTTTAGTAGGTTTTATGGATCTAAATTAAGGTCCCCAAATTTTCAGCTTCAGCTAATTTCAGCATCGTCCCCAACAATGTATATTAAAAATAAATAATTAGAATACCTGTCAGTCCTTATAATGGATAACCATTTGTGTATCCGATTAAACATACTAGCTATTGTATAAGGCATTTCGTTAGGGGCTGTTGCTGGAATATCTATTGATTGTCCTGTATAGTAAATATAAAGTTGAGATTAATTATAATTGTCAAACTAAGATATTTTGGATCAAGATATAAATAAGAGTAAGTATAATATCTACCCATAATACACGCTTTATCCTCTTTGTTCAATCTCAACACCTCCTGTAATTCTTCTGGGCATTCTTGCCACGATTCGATTTTCCATAGCTGGTGAATAATTCTATACGAGATGAAACAATTTTTAGTTAGAAACTTAATATATTCAGTACTCTGCACTATTTAATACCGTATCAGAGCCAATATTGAAAACAATATCGTGGATACATATTGTTCCCATAATCCTGAAAATACGGAACTTGAAATCGTCTGTTAAAGTTAACATGCAATGAATTTTACACTGATACTTTGAACTTATTTATTTCAAAATTAAATCAATATTAAAGATTATACCTTTGGATTTTCCGATGACCTTACAAGGAAAGTTATTACTGTGTCTACCAATAATGTCAGCTTTAAAAGGTCGAAAACGGAATAATTGAGTACGTATTGTATATAGTAATTTAAATTAGAGATGACAATACATACATTATGTCGAGCCGATTCGTAACATGCTATAGTTTTATGAAGTTCTTTTAAAAGTTCTGAATCTGATTTGTAGGTGCCGTTTTGTTTCATATCGATTACTGAAAAAAAGTGAAAGAACTTAAGTATATAAATGGGGCATGAAGAATTTAACAATAAATTATCATATTGCATACTAATTGAAGATAAAAAATTTAGACCCGAGGCATCACGAAATTGTGTTATTGAAGTAATAAAACGGGTTATATCAGGAGAATGCCATTCGTTCATTATTGGCAACACTATTGGATCGAAGAGTGCCTTTTTTTGTTCTAACGGAATTTTAGAATAATATCTGAAACAAATACAATATATTAAATAAGGAACTAGTACGTCTAAGGAATTTATGTTCTATACATACATAATACAAAGCAAAAATTTTTTAAATGACACTTTCTCTTTTCTCTTAACCATATTATTTCCTGTATCAAGAATATTATTCACATAGCCTGCAATATCGTTATATATATTCTAATAGGAAAATCCACAGAAACTTGAACTTAAGTTCATTGACACATTTGGATTAAATGATATTAAACATGTAACCAACCATTAAGATATCGGGCATTAATGTGCCAAACTTTATCAATATTGCAACAGCTCCACATCGTAATCGATAAACGGGTTGCGGAAAAGTGGATGTAGGTGAAATAATAAAACCGGGAGGACGGAATATAGCAAAGTGAAATATCTGTAGACATAAATGATTAACAATGAAAAACTTCACTATCTGATGCCTAAATATGAATTAATTAGCATAGACAAGTATCACCTTTTGTAAAACTTGAAACAATAGTCTCGAATCCATATTTAGCATGTCTACAAATGATAGCATAGAAGCTAAATATCTATTTGATATTACTACGTCCTATTTATTAAATTAAATTATATTTATAAAATATATAATAAAAACCCTTGGCATGATATGAAATAGTTTCTTACCGGGTAATTAAGATTCAATAGCATTTGAAGCAAGCTATTCATTCCGTTCATGATTTCTGTATAATTTGTCTTTGTCGGATTTAAATTTTTTTTGTTGAAATAAGCGCTTTGAAAAACCTTACAAAATTAAGCAAATATATTGAGGTGTCATACGTCTTGGTCTTCATTGGATTTGACCAATTTTCCGACCCCAGTAACTACAGAATCCATCAATGTCAATTCCGCATCAAATATAATGTATGCTGAGGAGTCTACTTTACAGACACCATCAGCTAAAAAAACAAACAAATAAATGTATTAAATCTTTTGAGACTGGTATGAATGTGGCAGCTGATGCTGAAATTTCGACCTATTTATTATGAAACTGTGAAATTTTTCGGGCCTTTTTTTATATTCAGGTGAATATGTAGATTTTAATGGGTGTAATAAATTTAAATAAGGACTCAAATTTCAGCATAAGTTGCCACAATAAACATAAGCTTTATGAAACATAGATGCATGATAACTTACCATCTAAATCTTTTTCATCCAGGTTTATATTTAACGTTTTTTTGATCCTATTCACTGTCCAAGTAAAAGATTCTATTGGCCGCATCTGGGTAATTAACTTTATTGTTTCAACAAGTTTCGTGCGAAGCGCCAGAGCGAAAATTTTATATTCATTGCTTGAATCAAAATCCATGTCAATGTAATGTGTAGTTGTATTATCAGAAGCATCTTCATGGAACAACTTTAAAATAAATTAATTCAACAGCTTTTAACATCTAATATCAGACATCAAAAAGTTCACATAATAAGGTATATATTTTGCTTACTATTCTAAGTCTCTCCGCAAATAATTCTAAAAGCATTAATAATGACTGATATTGTTCTTTAAATGTCTAATTAAAGGTTGAATTATAATCTAGATGTGAACCAATAATCATAAATAGTAAATAATAATTCACCTTAGAGATATGTGGATGGTGAATTGCTAATTGCCAAAACATTAATGCCATAGAAGCTATGAAATTTGACGGATGCTTTGAAATCTCGTATATCAATTCTAAATATCTGATTTAAGATAATTTATAAATATTTTTAGTTATTTGTACCTGATAAAAAAAAATAATATATTAAATAGTCGAACATCAATACTTTGGGAACTGCTTTGGTATCACTGTGTTGTTCTTGAAACAAATATGTTTTTCTCCGAATTTAATAACGGCCTACCAATATAAATCAATTACCATTACAACTATTATTGTCAGTTTATTAGCGCCTTTAGATACAAGTAAAACACACCTCAACATATTGTTTCAAGTATATATAATCATTTTCTTCGAGCAGTAAATCTTGACTTGGTTGGATCATCTTAAAGGACAAAAATAATAGATCCATGCCATTTTGTTCATAAATAGGGTCAAAAACAAGCGTACGATCTTCCGGTGTTTGAAAGGTACGAGAAAAAATAGCAGTAATACATTCTATTGCAGCCTGACAATAACATTAAGATATAATTAAATATTATATAGCATTATTCAAAACAAAATTACATATAGTTCTATAACAACCAACCATTCTTATTTCATGGCAGTCGCTTAAAAGGCTTTCGCATGCTACTAGTAGTACATTCGTTTCAACAATGGATCTATTTGAATTGATTCACACGAAACCTCAATGGCCTAACTTAATAATTACCAAAATGACAAATCGACAGTATTACCTTGAAATAATCCACTCAACATATATTGCAATGGTGCTTAATGTAGCAACTATTAGCTTCTTGTAAATTACAGACGAAGTCGACTGCAATATATTCTTAATGTGATGAACAAATTAAACACACATAATCAATTGTAATAATAATGATATATACTTTTACCTGACGTTTCCACTCATTTAACAGTTGTTCCAAAGATCTCACCCATAACATCAACCAGCCTTCACTATCTGGCTCACCTTGCATTATTATTATTTCATCTTTACGCGAGCTTGTACTATCTCCTTTCATACCATCTGGATACCTCTCTCTCAAGATATTGTAGCTTGCAATTATACAAGTTAAAGAATCTCGTAAATCAGATTCTTTTCCAAGATATCTAAAGATCATAAGGGTCAACTCTTGTGTCGTTGGCTTTAACAGAACAAATGAGGAAATTTTAGTAATTTTAGAGAAAAGAAAATCGAAGAAAATAATAATCGTACACTATATGCATAGAGACTTCGCAAAAGGCTATTCATGTCTGCCCAACGTGTTGGCCATTCACGTCTAGCTACGTCAGCAAACAATTTCGCGACTTTCTCCTTGATAAATTGCTTTTCAATTAAAATATCATGAGTTCCCTAATTCAAAGAAAGTCAAACTCTATAACTTAAGAATAATAATGACATCTCAATGTGAATGAACAAATATGAATTAATGCAGACTTTTTGGACTAAGTTGATTATTGCTTGTTTAATTTGTTCCCGCTCAGAATCACCATAAATTCCATCGATCCATTTATATCTTATTGTATTTTCTAAAAGTTGCAATCCGAAATGTCTAACAACATCAGATTGTCCATTTTCTTTTAGAGCCAATAAATGACCGAAGATTGGCGCGTTGGGATTATCTTTGATGGAATTACAATACTGCGTGATCATAATCAAGTTTTTTTTTAATGAATTGTTCACAAAAATAAAATAGAACGTACGAATAATTAAACAAAACCTGATGTGCTTCGAGCCTAACTTCATTTGATGCAAACGGACTATGAATTATATCCAAAGCTTGTATGATCCTTGAAAGAACTAGTTAAAATATTCGATAATTTTAATTTAATTATTTTCGTGCCACGTAAATATAAAAATTTTATATTTTTGGCAATTTTTTTAAGAAAAAAAAGGCGGTAATTATTATAATAGTACAATACCTTCAGGTTCCATGATGGAAAAAAACAGATCGTCATCGATCAACTGGTTTGGTCCACAATTAAAAGCCAAAAAATTGAGTCACGTGATATTAATGCAAATTGCTTTATTAGTGAAAATAAATTTTTCAATCCAAAAACCTCGGCTTTGCCGACAAGTAATGTATAAGTCAGCGTTGTTAACTGGAAACACTGGAAGACCACTGGAACTTCACTGGAAGCAAAAATTAATAGTACCACTGGAACTTCACTGGAAGCAAAAATTAATAGTACCACTGGAACTTTTACTATTAGAAATTTCCATTGGAAGGCTAGAAATTCCCACTGAAAGCTAAAATTTAAACACTGGTATAAGCAAACGGCTAAGACGCACTTAGTAGTTCGGTCATAAGTATTACAAAGCGTCGGCTAAAAACGGAACTCAAACTGAGAGCCGATATTACAGCTGTTCTCATAAATTCTGGGATAACTATTAAAAATTGACCGATGATTATTCAGCCGAATTCGATAAGTTTTGAATTCGGTGTTATCGGCATTGGATTTTTGGCATTACAGTAATGCCGATAGCACCGAAATCAAAAACTTATCGAATTGCCTAGAATTTATGAAAACAGCCGTAATCACAAAATTTATAATAGTAAGCTACCCGGCACGAAAATGTCGTAGTATATTGCCTCGGATCATACACAACAGTGTTGTTAGTGGAATATTGTACCCTGGAGTAAGCCAGGAGTATAAACCAGTGTAGTTTATATGTTACACCACTCCAGATTGTAAGACATATAGAGGGTTTATACTCTAGAGTTGCTGTTAACAGTCTGGATTAAAAATATAAATAATTCATTGTTGTACATATATTAAAATAAAATAATAAAATTTATTGAGTTAACTGTTAATTAGCATTGTAGCATTGAATACATATTGAATTTGGTATGTAATGTTTTATCATCACGGCGAATTTATGAAATTAAGCTAAAATTCGGTCGATGTCAAAGGAAAACCTGTCATCGGGCTTTAATTATATTTTGTCTAATTTGTTTTCTGAGGAATTTACTAATTTCCCCACCACTTCTGATTGGTTCTACTAATTATTCATATATCAGAGTGTCTGTGTTATTACTCAATTTTATAGTTCTCCGATAGTGAAGTGGTGGAAATTAAGGCTCCCGTTTTCTGAGTGCTGTCGTAGAAACTATTTTGGCGTTGCTGAAAGTATTTCGGAATTGATTTTTAATATAAATTTCCGAGTTATTTCTGAAATAACTCAGACATTTTATATTAAAAATCAATGCCGAAATGCAACAAGTCATTACAAATATGGTACTCAGAACAAACTGGATACAAAATATAATTTGAAGCCCGATGACTAGTTTTCCTTTGACGGCACTCAAATTATATATTCAATGCTAAACCCCGAAAAAGTTATGAACCCCGATCTTGATTGATAACGCGTCTAACCCATCTTTTCTATATACTAACCCACCTCTGACGATCTTATTAGACATAGAACTTTATTATAATGACGTACTCTCACTCGGTGATAGTAATGATCAAAATGTTCAAATTTTGGAGTATTTCATAAATTCGCCGCAATATAATATGCTATAAAATTTAATTCGGAGTAACAATCTGGAGTAAATTATGTAGAGTAGTAACTTTCGACGTAGTGTGGTTTTCTGACAGAGTATAATGCACTTGTGTAGTATTTCCGATTTATAATTATTAGAACATATTTAGGGTGATTTTTTGCAAACGTAATTTTTGCTTCCTTTACTTTCCTCTGTCGAACGAGTCGTAAAATTTGGGTGCTACCAAATTAAAACTCGAAACATAGGAATCTGCTCTGACTTAAATTTGGAGGCACTCATTTGATAAAACATAGCCTACGTAGACAAAAGATAATGCGGGATAAGTTAATGTAAATTTTTTTTTTTTCACAAAAGATAATTTTATTCTACTTTCTTTTTGCCCCGAAACTTCAGATATGCCTGTTGAAACAATAATCATAGTGTTAAAAATATTCTGGCCCGCCGAGACGTCTCGCGATATGAAGAAACTATTGCACCCGCAATTTCACGGGTTTTCGTGTGACAATATCATGCACGAGATAAATTGTTTAAAAAAAAAAATCTTAACACGTGGCTTGCGCGAATCGCGAGAAATATATGAAATGTATATACTAAGTTTATTCCTCAAAGTAGAGGCCTGCATTGGGTCCCGAAGCCCTGAAGCAAAATTTTATAATTGCGGGCCGGCAAAAAATTTTAACCCTAAATGCGGGCCGGTCGGGCCTCAAAAATAGGCAATTTGCAGGCCCCTACCTCAAAGCTACATAATTAGTATAGATGGAATTTCACGAAAAGCGAGGTAGAAAATCCATAGTTATGTTTCATCGAGTTATTAGAAATGTTTATCAGAAATATCTCGATGAGAGACAAGAAGTGCAATGCAGAATCCCTCCTGAAATAATAGGGTTGGGGGCACCCCTATAGATATATTATATCTTATCATAATTAGCAATAGTAGGCTTTAATTCTTATTGGCCAATTATATAATAGCCCATATCCATGGCACGTATGGATTCTGTGCCAGGTAGGGTACAGCATGGGCCGGGTATTATTCACCACCCATCTGGCTTAAATCTTGAATAATACCCAGGGGTATAACTAGAGTTAATACTTGGATCCGGATTTAATTATTTATATCCGGATTTGATCATTAGATCCAGGTACTGTATGCAGTGGCCAATGGTAATAAGAATTAGTAACCAGAATAAAAAACGTCAAAAATTGGTTTTCTAGTCCATTTCCTATATGGGAAATAAAGCATATAAGCCAGATTGGTATGTAATATATATATATATATATATACATAACTAATCAAATAGACAGTCTAGAATTACAGAAATTTCCCTCAATAATTATCACAAAAATCGTGGTGTCACCTCTTTTTGCAAAGCAAACCCAACTACTAATCTCAGTATAAAATTTTATTTATATTTTTTTATACAATATTTGATATACTATAGGCCTATAATTGCATTACTTCTTGTGCGGCAAGCAGATCAACAAACAAATATTACCATTTAACAATGACATATGCTTCAAAATAGTATTATAGCACCATATCATTTGCAATTACAACTTCACAGCTAGTTTGGATCCAGTGAAGATTATATATTGTAAAAAGAAGACTTTAGTAAATAATTAAAAATATTTTTTTTTTTTTATTAAAGAGACTTAATTGCAATTTACCGTTTATTATGCCCTTAGGGCCAAGAGTCCAGATTGTACCACCAATCATTAGTTAGTCTTTACATTCTCGTATTTTTATAGTGACTATTTGACATTAATACATAGTAATCCAAATGTTCATTTTTTATAACTTAAATCAAGAACAGAAGGCAAACTTAAACTATATATTTCATACCTCAAAATTTTATTTCAATGAAATGTATTAAATCAACTTAACATGCTTCTAAAACATAAAATAATTAGTATCCACAAATATATTAAAATTAAAATGCTTTAATTATAAATTAAATACTTAACTGATTCTTTTTTTAATTTTTTATAATTTTTTTTTTAATTTTTTATTTATTTATTTAACATGTTTGATACTAAAAGTAGATTGCATCTAAAAATATATCTTCCAAGACCATTGACTCATGATTATTCATTAGGTTACAGAGTTTTTAAGTTTTTTACTTAGTGAACAGAATATCAGCAAAGAATTTTCTATATTTTATACACATTTGATATAAAAATATTAGATTATTTACTATAATTTAGTATAATCAAAGGAGATTAATTTATTGTTTAATAAGCCAGTTTTAAAATAAATAGACAACATTCACTCTGTTCATTTTTATTTCTTTGCATCTTTCAACCAGTCTTGATTACAAATTAACATTTCAATGATTTCTGGAGTAAGATTCAATCTATAATTGTTGATAACACTACTAGTTGTACTAAATGCCTGAATAAATAATTAATATAGTTGATTTATATTAATAAACTAATTTTAGCTAGAATTCTACTTACTGCTTCAGATGCTACAGAGGTTATAGAAATAACAAGAATATCTCTAGCCATTAATGTAACAGATAGATATTTTAATACATTTTCTTTTCACTAAATTAAAACATCAAAAGTACTGAAAGAAGAACAGAGAAGAAGTGAATCAGAAAGATAAAACTCAAACTTATCCATATTATTGATTATATTAATTTGGTTTGTTACAATATAACAGTCAAATTCTTGCATTAAGTCATCATTTTGCAAATTCAAATTAGAATAATTATGATTATTAGATATAATTATATGTTAAAGATATGTTGACTTATATATTATTGTAGCTCTACATAAAGTTAAATTAAAAATGAGTAAGTTTTATTTAAAGATGTTATAAATCATTATAACTTATATAGTAACTACTGTAGTTATAGTATAAGCTTTATCTTATTATTATCAAATAGATAAAAAGTCTCTAATATTAAACAAAACTCTTTTTAACTATTACTGCTAAGATTTAAATATATTTAACTTAAATACAATTTATATATAAATATGTAATAAATATATAATAAATACCTAATAATTACTAATTCAAACTTTAAAATGATAATCTTAGTAAGAAACCTGTTTAAAGACTTTTTATCTATCTGATATATATATAAGCTATAATAGTTTCTGTCAAATAAAGATATTATATTGTACTAAATCACTTTATTTTAATAAAATTTAGCTTTTTCTTAGCTTATATGCATAGCAAGTTCATTTTATACTTATATATATAAGTTAATAACAATATCTTATAGCAAGAGTTCATTATAAATGCAATGCAAATTGTATTTTTTATATCTATTCAGTACTTATCAAATTTGATTTGTATTAGTATAATCATCTAACAAATAAAAGACTCTATATTAATAGCATTTTGTTTAAGATATAATTTAATTTTTACTAAATAGTGAAGAAAAATATTTATCATCAGATATATGCTTTCTGATATAATATTTGTAACTGTATTAAAAAATAAATAACTAATTAATATATATTTTTATTAAAATATATTAAAAATTTATTATCATCTTTATTAAAAAATTTTAAAAAATTACAAATACATTTAGCTCTATTCAAATTATCATCAGAAAGCATAATATAACTAAATTTTATATCTTATAATGCAAGATGCTCAAATATATATTTATATAAAATAGTAAATTTTAATATTAAATAAAGAGAATTTTATCTTGTAGGCACATCAAGTGCAGATTGTTAACTTGATATAAGCTTAGCATAGTATGCAATTACTACATTCCTAAAGTTTTGCAACCTAGATTGTAAACTATGAACCTACTTAGCATATTTTCAAATTTTGCTTACAATATTCTTAACTTTTTTAAGACTATTATTGACAATAAAATTTAATATATATGTACAACAGTGTTGATGCAATAAATTTCCATTAGCAACAAGTATGTTTTTATTCTCAAACCTGTGCTTTAAGTTAGTAATTGTGACATTATTACTAATTGCATTGTTTATAGTAATTACTAATATCTTTAATATAATGTTCCAATTATTAAAATATTTAAAGAATATTTTACTAATTGCAACACCTGTATATAATGTAGAAATCATTCTAAATACTATGATCAACTTTTGAAGTTTTCAGTTTATATCAATAAAATGACAGATAATAATTATATATCCAAAGATCTGGTTTGATATTCATATATTGGTTGTATAACTTAAATATCTAGAAGCATTATTTATCATTGCATAAGCTTTCTTTTTAAACTTTTTAACAATTTCTATATAATCTCTATATATCATTTTTTTCACTTACTACTTTATATTTTGGTTGTAAACTATTAACAAACTTTATAAACCTTTTATGCTCAACTATACAAAATAAATATAAATATCTAATAATCATTTTTACTATTTATTAATAACTTTTTTCTTAGCAAAACTTATAAATTGCAAGACCTGCTATGAATAATTGCAACATTTGTTATAATTAATTAATATTCAAATGTTTTTTATATTTAGTATTTTTAAAATAACAGATTAATAAACTAGTTTCAGTTGTATTATCATGTTTTAATCTATTTTCACAATATGAACATATTGTATAATTTTCTAACAAATTATATAAATAATATTAACTAATTCATTAAATTAAAAATCAAAACATCATAAAGTATGTATTTTACTTTTTTAAAAATTATTATTAAAATAATCTTTCTTAAAAACTCATAATTCTGAATTATTTTTTTTATATTTTTTATTAACTTCAGTTATTTTAGAACTTTTAATAATTATTTTAGGACTTTCATTAGTTGCTTCAAAACTTTTGTTAGTTACTTCGGAATTTTTATTAGTAATAATTATTTCAAGATTTTTATTATTTGCTGTTATCTTAGAGCTTTTATCTTCACTCACAGCAGAATAAATGATTTCTATTTCTAGTAATATTTTTACAATAAATTAGTTGTTTAATTTAGAATAGCAATATTTAATTTTTTATATCAAATGATGCTAGCATACTATAGTTCATTCTCTATAATATGGTTAGAACAACCTATTTTTTAATACTTTTAAATCATATAACCTAAATAAAAAGCCTAATTAATAAATATTAATTTCAAAAATATGAAACTCTTCTTAATGAATTTTTTTCAATTATGTATCTTTTAATTCTAACTTTTATACTTATAAGTATAAAGACTTTTTTTTATAAATATTTTGTTTAGTTATAAAAAAGTGTTGCAAAGAACTTTTTATAAACAATAATTTATTTACTTTTTACCTAGAATTTATATATATATGTTTTTTCAGTAAATACTTCATTATCAAATATAACTTTTTTTTTTTACTATTTTAAATAGCAAACCTTATTATTATTTATTATTGCTATATATATATCTGTATATTAATCAGCCTAAAAAAAGTAAAGAATAAGAAAATAGCTATGTACCTAATCTAGTATAAAAATAGATACTAATAAAATATAAGTGCTATCAAAAATAAACTTATTATTAGATTTTCAATTATATTTTGTATACAGTTAGCCATCTATAGAAAATCTATTATCCCTTAGATTGTAACACAAGCAAATTTGTCTGCATAATTTTTTTAAAATTAATTTTTATAATAAAATTTTAACAATTAATTTTAGCAATATACTTTCTAAGTAAAA